TTTTTTTTTTTTTTTTTTTTTTTTTTGGTTTTCCTTCCTAAACCTCTGTTTAGGTACTCTGTTAGGTTACCTCTGTGCCAGCCTGGACTCTGGAAGAAAAGTGTTGCTCCAGTAATTGGTCATGGCATTTCCCAAATGGTAGAGAAAGGAGCTACTTAGAGGTTCCAGACTGGTCAAATCCGAGGTAAATAGGGTGTCAGTATTGTTCCCAAACCACAAGCAAGTATCTTCCCAGCTGGATTTTTATTATTTTTTTAATGTTCCTTCTTATGGATTCTTCTATTCCTGCAAATTCAGTACCGGTGTGGGAGGAGAAAGATTTGGATGGTGCAGGTGGAGATTAGAGCATTTATCTCATGATGATTATAATGTAGTTCTAGAATAGCTACAAGAAAATGGCTTTTTTTAAATTTCAGCTTTGATCTCCCTCCTTTTTTTTCTTCATGCATGGGACTTTGCAAATATTCTATCTATGTGGGCTAGAGAAGATTTCCTTCAAGACACCTCTTCCTGCAGCAGTAGTACATGACTTAACTAAGTATGTTTGGGACTACAATGGAAGTGGTGCTGTGGGTAGCTCTAGTGAATATTTTATGAGAATTTAAGGTGCTTCTATGTGTTCCTGTCTCAGATGATGTTTGAAAGCTTTTTTCATGGTACTTCTTACAGCAAGGAAATGAGTTGAGATGACCTGCATACTGTGTGAGTTTTCTGAATAGTCTATTAGGTGAAACCCATTTGCCTTAGGATCAAAACAGGGAAGTAGCTGTATTTACAGGGATGCAAAAGAATGTGATGGATGCAGGTCTGCTATTCTTTAGTGAGTAATTTGCAATCACAGTCACATTGACTTCAAAATGGACAGAAAAATGTCTTGTGGTGCAACCACCTGAAGTCTCTTCAGGTAGAAGTAGTCGCATTGCAAAGATAAATTGCCTTTTTTTTTAGGTGAAAATCCTAGATGGCATAGTATAATCCTTTAAAGATGAAACCTGAGAAATGCTTCTTTATCAACTAGTTCATGGAGTGTTACCTTCCCCTCCCACTAACCTGCGGAGTATTTTATCCCTGCTAGTGAAATCTTAAACTTCAGTTATTTACATTAATGGAAGATGACAAGAACTGGTGAACTGTTGGAAAATCATGTTTCAAATGTTGAGAAAGGTATTGAATCCTATCTTTCTTCTCACACGTGTTTTTGTGATTCTTCATGCTAACAACAAGACTTCACAGTAGCAAGCTTGTAAAGCAGAGTATTCTCCCATGAGGAGTCGAGAAGAAAGGTCGACTCCTTATCTCAGTGTAGTGAGCTGGTGGATAAAACACAGAAAACACAGAAATCTGAACCAGCTTTTCTAACAGGTTTTTGCTACGTGTGCTTAGATGTTGATATACATCATCAAATGAATGATTGTTAATGCAGGGGGAAGTCTGTCAACAGTTTGATCGTGAACTCATGTTCTGTCAACTGAATATTAGCATGGTCAGGTATTTGTGTTTTAAATCCTTCCACAGTATTCACATGTACAAGGAAAACGGGCATTAATTTGTTTGAAGATTACAAGTACAAATGCTTTATTTTGTGTGTGGCTTGGTTTTTGTTGGGCTTTTGTTTGGATGAAGCTGGTGTTATGTTACAATAGTAATCTTCAATAACTCTGCAGCATTGGTGTGAAAAGCTTTTTCTGTGATCAGCTCGGTATGAATGCATGTTCTTCTGGGGGATTCCCTCTCATTTGACTTGTTTGCTTTGTTTCTTTTTTTTGTTTGTTTTTATTCCTAGAGTCTATTTGAACAATGTAAAGAAAAAAATGAGCATTAATTTTCTTGCTTGACAAGTACTTATTTCATTGACAATTATTGTGAATGCCCTGCAGTACATTAGATATGCCAACAGCATAGATGTGAAAATACTGTGCATTTAAGATTTAAGGTAACTGCTTTACTCATGAGTATTGTAACAGGCTATTGCATAGTTCCCCTTAGTTAATGTAAATAAAATATGTACTAATGTCAATATTTATTTTGCTTTTACAGTTTTGGATCAAGGTTGCTACTTTCTATTTTCAAATAAATCTTTGAGGGTTTTGAGTGTTTTCTTACAAAAAAAGTTATTTCCTACACTCCAGTCTTCCATTCCACAAGACAAACCACCTACTTGGAGATGTGTGATTTTGAATGGTATAGTCATTGGTGTATGGTAGTTTCTGGCCAGTATTGGAAACAAAGATATACAAATTTAATGGGGTGGATAGAGACATGAGTAGCATTCCATTTCAGCTCCCTCTGAGATCATCATGTCACTGGATACCTACCAAAAAATCAAAATACATGAGTGAGGATTCATGTAGGCACTGATTTTTGAATGTATGTTTTCATAAATTTGATGCTATGTAATGACAGCTATAGGCAGAAGAGTATATAGTGAGTGTCAGTCAAGATATATGCATTCACAGGTTTTAAAGTTTTGTATGTATTCCTTAGGTCTTCTGAAGTGGGTTGTTTTTTTCCTCTCTGAAATTATTTCTTAAATTGATTTCAGTATACTTTTAATAAGGATACATTTGGGCCAGTAGATTTTGTAAGCTAGTTCCAGTAAGTTCTTCCATACCACAGTAAATATATTATATTGACTTCTGTTAAAGTGAGTAGCATGACTTATGTGTGGCACTTCTTATTAATCCATATATAGTTTGAGTGACTAAAAATTTGCTTCTGAAGCTAGTTTTTTATTACAATGTTTATGTAGAAATTCTCAAATACACAGTTTGTTTCTAGATTTCAAAATTGTCACAAAGTTGTGGGGTTTGGTGTGTTTTTTTGTTTGTGTTTTGGTTTGGTTTTAAACAGATCTCAATTTCAAGAGTGTGATAAAGAGCTTAAAAATTCAACTGTTGCCATATTTCTTCTAAAGGAACAGAAATAGTTGAGATGCACAGACATGATACAGTTTCTTTAAGATTATTCAGTACCTAATTATTGACTCTTCATAGAGGAAGTAAAAATCTGGAATGTGCTGCTGGCATCTTGCTAATTCATTGTTCTTCAAATGGATCTTAATATAATGTCTCTCCTCATTGGCTAATTGTTTGTGGTTATCTTTTTCCAAATGGCAGTAACACAATTTATACCACAAAAGATCTTAACACAACTCAACCCTGTTCTCTTTTGTGGACTCAGATCTGTATTTAAGTTTAAAAGGATCTGCTTTAATGTTTAAAGATAGGCCAGTGAGGGACTTCTGCTGAAGCGAAGCCTCAGTGGACATGTGTACTGTATGGAATGGGTCAAAGAGCCACACTTTTAATGGAGGCAATTACTAGGGGTGCGAGGAACTGTGACATTGCAGATGTAACTGCAGTGATGTCGCAAACAGTTGGCTGAAATTCCTGCAGAGTTGAGATAGTTCAGTTTCTAAGTATCTGCTTCAGCTGATTCCTCATGCCTTTTTACCTTGTGTTTGGTCCTGGAAGTGTTGGGGTGAAAGCTGTTGTGTCAAATACCCTCAAACTTTCCTTTGTATAGTGGTTTGTTTGTCTGGTGGTGTCTTTTGAATGACATGTGAATAGGCTAGGAGAAAAAGAAGGGGGAGACAGATGGGGAGAAAGATCTTTTAGCTGATGGGAGTTAACATATGTCTGGTTTAATTTACAGCAGCTCTCCATCGTCTTTGTGTATCCTTCAGTAATGAGAAGTACTGTATAACTGCTTTCCCAGTACCTCAGCAAAGCTTTCTAGATTTCTTAATTTTTAATAATAAAAATTTAGACCAAAAGCAGAACAGATTTCTTTTTTTTGGCTACAACAGATACACTTCAAGCATATATTATTTTATATGAGAAATACAGGTGTTCCTTCTTAAAGATGAAATGGTAGTCTTTCTCTAACTTTTAAATTTAACGATTTACTTAATCATATTACAACATCTTAAAAATTGTTTTAAGAAACTGCTTCAAGACTGTAACTTTTTGGGATACTTGGTATCAGAACAATTTTAGTTCCTGGACATCCTCAGTCCAGGATATATTAAAATACCTTTAATATTATCATAATTAGAATAAGTTACTGATACTGCTTACATTATCTCTTGTTTTGCTTAAGTTTCTATCAGTACCAAGGGCAACATTGGGATTTTTAGATCCTAAGTACTCCTGTTATGAGAGTTGACTTGACCAGTTGATGTCATGCAGCTGATCTGCAATGCTGCTACCCAGAGAGAAGAGAGGCTGTGGGGTAGAGGGAGGACGGTGTCGGGTGGCAACAGAGGCAGATATCTAACATGCAAATGTTAGGCCTAAGACAATGTACATCACTGCCCTACAAGCATGGCTGTGGTATTCCTCAGAGTCTCATGACCAAATCAGTAATGAAATATAATGCTAATTCACCTGTCATAACATCTTTATAAAAGCTGAAATCTTAATTTCAATTTAGTTAATTTTTGTTATTCAAAAACTAGGCAGACTTTTTCCCTCTTTTTGTTGTTGTTTTCTTACAATACAGAAAATTCTTAACAAAAATGTTGTTGGGCAGTTTAAAGTTGCATTTCTACTCTTGCATGTAAATTAGCACAGATGTTAGAAGTCAAGGGACGCATGTATAAGAACTGGACATTCAAAGTTTGTTGGAAGAAACCACATGCTTAGCTATAACCTGTAGCACAAACACAGGAGGAGAACATAGTTTGATGTAAAGTGAATAACTGGAGTCAAGCCAAATCAGTTGCTGAACAGAGCCAACAACTTTAACTTAAGGGAGAATAGTAGAAGGATCCAAATCAGAATTCAAAAAATTATTACACACATTCCCACAGCAGCTCTGGTTTCACAATAAATGCAAA